ACTCTGCTGTAGAAAAATTCATAAATTTCAGTCTAGTTCTGAACAAGTCAGGAAACAACTTCTGCAGTCTGTAGGGAAGGGATATTTTTGATTTGATATTTTGGATTAAAATGTATGCACTGTACAGAGCTATGGTTGTTACATTCTTCATGCTTTTTTAATACCACTCTGCCCTCAGTTTTGTGAGTCATGGAGAAAGTAGCAGTGTGCAACACTCAGTTTTCCTTCTGCATGTGGGACAGTTGTGTTCATTCCGGTTCTGTCAGGTGAATTCTTGTTTCATCAGGTTTGTCCATTTTACAGATTTAGTTTAGAACTGTATAAGGGATATTGTGGGAAATCATTTTATGGCCTCTAATTTGGAAGGCACTTTTGAAACTGTCATAATAAGTTCAGCTTCTTGGCGGCTTTTTAATCTGCAACTGCGTTTCCTTACTGTGCTTGGCTACTTGTGGAATAAATATTGCAGCAATTGTCCTTTATGGAAAGTTAATTGGGAATGTTTTGTAAGTTCTAGTGGGGCAGGAAGTGAGGCTTCAGTGATAGTGTCATGAATTACTTTCATTTTGTGTGTATTCTGCAGAGTGGGAGTGAGGCATCTTTTTGACATCCAAGACCTCCTTTTCTTATAGTAGCAATTCACTATGGATATTTTTTCACCCTTGTTCATACTTGTATAAAATCTCCTTGCTACCTCGCTGGTGGAAAATTCATACTGAAAAGTTGTGTTCTGGCTCTAGAAGTGCTTTAAAGAGTGGAAAAATGCAGGAGAGCCATGGCCCCCTCAACCTACTGATCTATGGGGGGTTCAAAACTAAGCCTGGGAATTAGAGAGGGAGGCCACAGGAGTGCTCTAAGGAGAGGTGCTCTTGTGATGAGAATGGATGTATGTTAGCAGGGCAAAGCCAAATTCTTACTACGTTTTGCTATGGAACCATGATTTAATTTTCTGTCTGTTTCCATATCTTTCTCAGTAAGATCACTGTGTGTATATGTTGTTGGAAGAGAGCAGAATCTGGGCAGTCATGATCAGTTGCACCTGTGGAAGGAAGCTGCTGCACTATGAGCTTCTTTTGAGATTTACATCTCTTGGATGTTTTCTTGTAGTCAGAAATCTGACTTTTACTCTCATCAAAATACTGAAGTTGATTCTGAGACCAGGGATATGTGAAAGTACAAGTTGCTTTCAAAGGGAACAATAATAAGTCGTCCTAAGCAAAATTTGAAAAATATTTTTGCAAACCTGTGTTTTTCAATCAAAAACTGGATTCATGTTTTTATTCTGAACTGCCCAAATCAGCAAGAATGTGGGAAGTGATGCGTAACTGGACAACACTGATTCATGTCCTACACGTTAGCTGCTCAGGAAGCCTGAAGCTTAATGTCAAATGTGTGGGTGAAGCAGTTAACCAGAGCAAAATAAATTGTTCTACTTACACAGTGGTGAATAGGGGTATTATCTTGGGGAATGTCTGCTTCGGTGACTTACTGTTCTGTACAGCACTTGTTACTTGGGACTGAACCATGAATCTAAGCTATTAGGATCCAAGATCAAGGTCAAACGTTCACTCTCATTTCTGTTCTCTGGTCTGTTTTTTAGAAATGCCTTCAAAATGATTGCAAAAATAATGTGGATGTTGTTTCTAGTTACAAAGTTGGGAAAATGTGTGTATCTTCTACGATTGCAGAGCTGTTTCTTGTGATCATCTCATTAAATATACATAACAAGTATACAGTTTCAAGAGGATAAATGTTATTTCCTTATCTGTGAGATTAGATCATAAGTTATAAAAAAAGAGCAAATACATACATCTTCTGCTAGGACCAAAGCGTGTCTTCAGCCTAGGACTTGGTATTTTACACCATTTTAAAGCATTCTGTGTGTCTGATGCCCAGAGTTCCCTTTTATATATGATATTTTGTGTTGCAAGCCGAGGATCGTCTGTTTTCAGTCTCAAAAACTCTTTTAAAAAGTGAGCTAATTAATCATTTTCAAATCAGGGAAATTGTGGAGACCAATGATGTTAGAACTAGGTGCGTAACTTACTTGGAAGACTGCCCTCCAATTTATTTATTGTTATATTTTTGAAGATGAGAGCTATTCTGTGCATATGTGATTTATACTTTTCTTCCTTACTCTAATTAGTCTTTAATGGCTGTTTCCTAATTTCTTATCTATTTAAGTAATGTTTTGCTGTTGTAAGATCCAAAGAAATGAAAGCTGTGTTAATTTTCTTAAGTCATGCATTATGACTTTAATTTATGATTTAAAATGTACTTCCATATTTTGCTCCAGATAGTTGCTTTAGAAACACAGGAATAAGAGTTTGTATTTATATTCTTAATAACTTGAGTTACAAGGTGAAAAAAAAATTAATTTTAACACTTCTTAATGGTCAGATATAATTATCTGTAATGTTCCCCCCTCCCCCCACCCCCCATGGATAAGTAGTAACAACAAAAGTAATGGTTGCTACTCTCCCAAGGACAGTAGTAACCAAAAAACTGGAAATTTTTAGGGAAGGTGGCTCTGTCAGAACTGGTTTGCTCTAAAGCTGTGGGAGTGTATCAGTGCAGTGTATCATTTCACTTGAGTCATTGGAAAGAGCTTCTGATACATCTCCTGATACAGTTGCCATCAGTATCTTGAATGACAACCTGTGGTTGTAAAACCAGCAGGCTTGCAGGTTTGACCTTTGTTTTTGAGTGGAGGAATGGATTAGGTAGGAAAAATTGCCAACTCTATCTATAGAAGATATCCCCTGCAGTCCTCTGTTTATTCTCCCCTGACAAGAAATTAGGATCTTTGTGTAGTGCGAACCTGATTTGCTGGGAAATCAAACTAGTTTTTGGGAGGCCGGAGCTTCTCCTGTGACAGACGTACTGTGTGCTACACGTGAGGCTCATCAGAAGTACTAGAGAAATGCATGTTTGTAAATAACATTTAAGAAGTCTCTGCATAATAATTCTGTCTGTTATTGTAGCATGCATACATATAAATCATACATAATTTTGCATCCAAATTGAAGTGTCATGAAGCATGTGAGGGTCTTCTTTGACTTAGAAACCTTCATGAGAGTGTTTCCAACAAATGTAGTACTTAATCTCCAATACTGGTAGAGAGTATTTTGAATTAAGTTTGTAAGATAAAATTTTGGAAGCAAGATTGCTTTTCCAGATGATGTTAGTTACTTGATTACAATGAAATTTGGAGCATTTTTTTCTATGAGCTCCTAGTATTCATATTTCTATTTGGATGTGTAATGCAGAAGATCCTGGTTGTAGGCTGGCATCACAATCCTCTAGTTTCATAGAACAAAGGCGTCAGTCCTGTCTAAAAGGTGTGTGACCCTGGCATTACTTGTAGTTCCTCTGGTGCCTGTGATTGTTTTGATACAGCTGGTCTTTAGGGCGGAAACCGAAACCCAGGGTGATGTTCCTGTTTTACCTGTGTGTATTCAAGCTGTTCCCATCATGAGAGACAGAAGAACCAAAGGCTTTTTCAGCAAAAGTCCATTTCCCCAAGGACACACTCAGGAACCTGTTCTGTTCCTTGGTTTCAATTACTTTTAATCCATATTTCCCCTTATTTCATAAATATTTCTAGGTCTCAACTTCCCCATCTGTAAACAGCTTAGCGCTACGGAGCTTAACGTTTGTTAACGTCTGGGTTAACGTTTGGTTTGGATTCAGCAAGGTTGTTCGCAGAATACCACTATGATCTATGTGGATGTGCTACCAGAGGGGTGAAAACTGAGTAGCTAAGTGTGTCGTAACCAGCCTGGAGGCTGGTGACACGAGGTTTGCACCAGCCATCTGCTGCACAGTGTAGTCTTTTCACTATTTTACGTGACTTGAAACGTGACCAGTCCTCGCTTCTGAAGTTTGCCAGTGACAGCAAATCAGGTAGAGAGGAGAGCAGTGGATGAGATCAGCAGGGGGTGGTCAGGTCGGAGGAACAGGCTGACAAGAGCTTTGGGAAAGCCATCAAGGACAAGTGCAAGGTTGTGCTTGTGGGAAGGAAGAGCTTCTTTAAGAGTAAGGATTTCCCTTCGCTCCGTGCTTGTCAAACCACACCTAAAATACTGCACCAGTGTTCTGTCCCCAGCTCACCCTGCCCTGATACAAGAAAGATGTGGATAAAGTGGAGCAAGCCAAGCACAAGGCTGCAATGATGATGGTAGGCTGTGATGCTGCTGTATGAAGAGTGGCTGGAGGGAGCTGGGGAAGGGTGACACTGGGGGGTCTTCCTGGCAGCTCACCCCCAACTGCAGGTTCAAAGCAGGATTGCAGACAGCGATCATAAATCTCAAATTATCAGACTTCTATCTAGGTACAAGAACAGTATTTTTCTCTAGGAGAAAGAAGGAGTTTTCAGAAAAATCTGCAAATGGAATCCTCACTGTCTTCTTTTCCCTTTCTTCTGATGATGTACGGAGCAGGAATTCAGTCTAGGTTAAGAATGTTGTAAGTGATGTTCTCTAAGACAAGGAGAAAGATAATACCAATCTTCAGCTGTGTTCTCAGAGTGTCCCTGTGGATTGATTCTCTTGTTCAGTGCTCGCTGCCATGCTGTTCTCTAGCTTTGAGCAGAATGCTGCTTGGTGTGAGAAAGGGTGGTGGGAGAAGTCAGCAGACAAGTGGATTTTGTTTGTGCTCTGAAAAATGTGCATCTGCAAATCTGACCATGTTTGCATTGTGGCTGGTAAGAAAATTTCCCTTGACTGTTTCTGAGCCACAAATTAGGCTTTGTGTTTATACATATGGAAAAGTAAACACACAAAAATTAACCTTCCTCCTCCTGTGTTATTTTCTGTTCTTGCTGCTCTGTGCCTCCGAAACACAGTTATATTGAGTATTGACAAGGACACAAAAGTATCACAGGCTTTCTCAGAGAAGTTACTTTGCAGCTTAGCTACACTAAGATTTCTTTTTGAGTCACGGTCCCTCAGAAATCAGTCTCCTAGTTTCATCTTTTCTGGTTTTTATTTTAAAAGTGCTAGCTTGTTCCTTTTTTCTGCGCTGTTAAGAATGAAGAATCTTAGTATCTCTGCAGTTACAATTCACTTTCCTTAAAGAAAATACATGTAGCCTTTACTGTTCTTAGGTTTTAGAATTGGAAATCTTGGCAGTGCGTGTCTCTGTCAAGTTCAGTGGATGGATAACTGTGCCATTAGCTCTGACCACTGGGCTGCCTTATAGTTTTGGAGATGTTTGCTTTGGTCCTTCTGACTATTGCGTAAGTAATGACTTCTAGAAACTAGTTTTTATGGAGTAGAAATGCAGATGTTGATCGTTATTTGTGTCCTGGTAGCTGAAAACTGGTGGTCTATTGTTTATTGCACAATTAGAGGAAATTTTTGATGTGCAGCCTCATCTGAGAGACCTTCTAGTCCTGGAGGTAGGAAAGCTTATCAGGAATAGTTTCAGCAGTGCCATGAGAGGGAAACTGAGTCACAGAGAGGAGTACTGCTTTCTTTTGTAGCCTTCAGACAGGTCTTATTTTCTTTGCTAAAATTGCCATTGTCTGTGTAATCAGAATTTCAGTCTTACGTGCCAGGCCCCTGGTCTTCACTGTACAAGTGTTAGGGCTTCTACAATAGTTTCTGAGTGTTCGGAGTGGAGAGTTGAACTGAGAGCTTGTTAAGTTGGAGAGCTCCTTTCCTACTTTCAGTCTGTAAATATGAATGTTGCCTACTGCTCTTAATAGTTTGAGAGGAGGGGGCCAAGTGAGAGTACCAGGAAGCAGACGGTGGAAGTGGTGGTTAGTCTTTTGGCCAAAAAGGGTTGTCTGCCTTTGTCAAAGAATTGGGTGTATCTTGGTCTTATTCCTAGTATCTGCTGTACGTTGGGTCACAAAGGGGAAAAAGATGAAAAGGAAACTATCAGTAGGCCACCACTATGGTCCTCAACACCCACTCTTCACCAGAGCCTGGAGAAAGAAGGTAAGGAGTACTGAGTAGATGGGAAGCTGGAAGCTAGTGGGAAATCTTAACCTTTAGGTTAATGAACTTCAGGAGGTTCTTTCTGCACTTGTATTTCTGTGATTGCTGTGAAGCCTGGAAGTTGTTTATGTCATTAATTAATGGTTATTGTGTGTTTGAGGAATCAATTTTGAATGAGGAAAAAAAATTGTATATTGGTAAAATGTGTATTTTTTTTTGTCATTTGCAGTATTTCAAGCCTGTTTTTAAGCTGTTCAAATTGATATTTTTATAATGTAATACACATGAATGTAATAGCTCTTGTGTTTAATAGATTTTTTGTTTTCTGTTTGCTACTTTGAAACATATTTTTGGTATTCTCATAGGTAAATTTCTTAAATGATCTTATGTTAAACTGAGTGAAGTCTACTCAATGCTGGTGGTATTCTACCTGGTATATACTGTGAAGTTTGGGACCCAGTATGAGTGAGAAACTGGCAAACTGGAGCTAGGCCAGTGAGGGCTGTCATGGCTGGGGTATTGGAAAAGATCAGGAGATGCTGCAGTAGCAGCGTTTGTGTAGTTGTAAGAAGAAAGGACTAAGGCGGTTGAATTGCAGTCCTCTGCTCTCTCAGGAGGAGTTGTAATGAGGATGGAGCCAGACTTTGTTCAGAGGTGCACAACAAAAGAATGAGAGGCGATGGTCGCAGGCTGCTGCAAGGGTAATCCCAGCTGGATGTGATGGAAGAGTTCTTCCTGACGTGTTTAGTGAGGTGCAGGGGCAAGAAATCTCCATCTTTTGGGGGTTTTCAGAATTTGTGCGGAGATGAAAGCAACCTGATCTAATTTTATAAGTACACCTGTCTTGAGTATAGGGGAGAAGTTTCAGTGGTCCCTCCCAACTTGATTTGATATTTGATTTCTGTGATTACCACTTAAACTTGTGTATCTGCACAGTTTGAGACTTCTGTTAGTGGTCACAACTGCTGGAATCAATAGGGAAAAAGTACTGCAGCAAACACATGCCACATGAGTTGTGTACTCCTGGCTGAATTGAATTGCCTGGCTTAATCTTGATTTAAATCCCTTTGATTTCAGTTAGCTCCCTGATCTCTCAACAGAAGAGTAAAAGATTTTTATGTATGGTGCTGTTGGAGAATGTTCCATGAACACTGGTGTGGTTATTTCTGGCACATAAAATTTGGATTATTTTATCTTTATGAAGAGTATTACCAAAATTCACAGCACACAAGCTCTCTTTGCCACTGGAACATTTATCTCAGCATGTAAATGCATAGCAAAATCTGTGGAACTTGAATTAATGCAATGTATAAGTCAACTCATAAAGCATTCTTAAGTAAGAAAGTACATCTTTCTTCTTGTGAATAACCACACTGTTCCTATCAGAGAAAGCAGGTCAGCGGTTAGGGCTCTAACACTGGGTCTGTGTCCTTCCTCTACACAATTCCTGTGTAATTTGAAGCATGTCACTGAGCTAGATCAAAACAGAAAACAAGTTGAAAGCTTCCACAGTTCTATATATGCTTATTGTAAGGGTTGCTTGTCGGGAAGAAGAGTATTTTTAAAATAACTGTTGAAGCAAGTTCCACATGTGTTTAAAAACTGACATCCTGTTTAAAATTGAAATAAATAAAAAAAAAAAATAAGAGGGCCTTTACGCTGCCTTCCTAAAGATGCATTTGGCAGAGGTGCTGAGACTAACTTCCAGAGCTTTGCCAACACTTTTCAGATTTGAAAATACGTGTTTCAGAGATGGTTGTAAAGAATGATCTATTCTTTAAAAGAATAAAGAAATAAAAGAATTAAGAAAAATACCCTTCTCTTCAAACCATATTTTTCCCATATTTTGCCTGACTGTTTCAGGCAAAATGCATTCCAGAACTTTGTAAGTAGGAACAACCTTTAAGCTCTGTAGATAGAACATGCAATGAGAGAGGATTTTGGTGGCATGCTGTGTAGTATAAGCACTCAGTGGAATATTTTGTATGTGACTGACATGTTGTGTATGTGACTGACATGTTGTGTATGTGACTGACATGTTGTGTATGTGACTGACATGTTGTGTATGTGCATGAATCCTTTCCTGGCTCCAAAGTTACTTGTTTTCATAGAGGACTTGATTACCTTCTAAGGCTGGGTTGCATTTTGAGGCAATCCTTTCAGCCGCTGCCACCTTTTCTGTACTTGGCAATTCATTTTGCCTCCATACTCTAATTCATCTAGCTTATTATTTCTCTACCATTCCTGAATTTCACTATCTCCTTCAACTTAACCTTTCCATAATTTGGCTACAATTTCCAAGCACTTGAGCTGTTTTGTGTGCAGAAACACTGACTCCTTGAGATAAACATCGATAGATGACTCAGGAGTAGGACAAAAACTTATGCTACCCTTATATGCTACCTTTCCACTTAGAGCAAAAATGGTTTGGAGGCGTTGTGTGCCAGTTTGTCCTTCTGGATGACATTGGAGTATTCTTATTAAATACCATTTGGAGGAAGGAAGGAAAATGTACGCTCCCTCTTAGTGTGTATTCAGGAGCAAAGTACAGGAGTGTTTTGTAGGTTTATCTTTTCCAAAACAGCCATGCTCCACTGGAGAAAAGAGAAGGTGTGCATGGGGAGTGCTCACAAGTGTTTCAGCTTTCTTCAGAAGAGGTGGGATTAGAATGGCTCAGGCAACATTTTTAAGATTAAAGCCCTTTCTCCCAACCCAAAGTTAAAAATTGGGATTTCTTATTCCCAAATGGAGAAAAGCATCATAAAAACTTCTGATCTTCCTAGGTTTTTTCTCCCGTTATCCTCAGGATGATTTTGAAGCAGAATGTGTACACCAAACAGACACCAACATAGCATGTTTTAATAATCTGTTTGTAATTGTCACAGTGGGAGCTGCAGAGTACCAAATAGTTTGAAAACTTCAACTTTATTCATCTGGCTTATTGAGGTCACTGCACTTTCTGGCTCAAGTACTGAGAACTATGTACGTAAAAATTTGGACTAGATGTGTTCTGAAGCAAGAAGCCACGCACATCTCCTCTCTTCCATCGTATTATTAGCTATGAGCCTGGCCAAATTGAAAAGGAGTGTCTGTATAGTTGGAAATGATATTCATGTAAAAAAATGTTCCCTTCATTTTTGCAGGGTTTTTTGGTCAGCTGAAGGCGTGGTGGATACACTGGGATGGACACAGAGGAATTCCCTCCCCCACCCCCAGAAGGTAACTCAAATAATTTTTGGTTTGCAAGTAATTTCCACTGTAACAATGCAGCTTTATTTTCAAATGTTTTTTTAGGGTTTTTTTTTTTTTTTTTTTTTTTTTTTTTGCTCATTTGCCCCATATGAACTTGGAACTTTCTCGTGGAAATACTGAACTGTGCCCCACTGAAACATGAACTTCCAATCTGCTCTGTTTTGTTCTTGAATATTGCTTTCTGGTGTTGCAACAGCATAGCAGGAAGTAACTGGGAGACTGATTGGTCTTTACAGTCCCTATCTGCAAATAAACATTTTCTAAGGCAACTTAGTGTGGACCATATCATCACACCTTTGTCTTGTACTTCATTGACATGTGGTGCCCTTTAGAGATCAAACGAGCAAAGCTTGTGGTGTGGAGAGGATGTTCAGGCCAGCATCTCAAACGTCTGGACAAGATTGGAGTCTGAATTGAGAGAGGAGTGAGCTGTTAGGGCATGTGTGACTTTCACAGGGCGTGTTACATCACAGCAATGTCTGCTGAGGGGCGTAGCTGAGGGACCACCTGATGCTGCAGTTCTCTAGCTCCAAGTCCTCAGCATGGTGCTCAGCCAGTGTGTGTCCTCATAGGAAGCAGAAGGGGAACATACATGGCTAAACCTCTCTGTTGTCAGAGCGTTGAAATTTATGGAAGATTGTTGTGTATGCTGGGCAATGGAGCCAGTTCCTCTCGGTGCCCCTTGGCTGCTGTATGCCAGCAACTGTATGGCTGCTGGTACAGTTCAGGTTTTGGATGAAACAAAGACAGGATTTATGGAGACACTTTATCACTGTCTTCAGCATTCTTTCTTGCTAAAAGAGACTATTGCCTGTAGCTATTTCTTCCCATTTGATTTCTTGTAAATGCATCTTTGAATAGTTTTTGATGTCTGTATATTTTAGATCTTGAAAAGATTTGTCTGGTTGGATGCTAAGAGACTTCTTAGGAGTAATATCATATATGCTTGTCCTGATCTTGCTCTTCCCAGCGTTGCTGTTTGTTGAGATGCGATTATTTGGACCCGTCGTTGAACTCAGGATAGCCATTCTTATTTTGATAAAGTTGATAGTACAGAAAGTACTGCATAGAAAGTGACTTTTGTAGTCTTCTCATCATTTCTGGTCTGTTTCTCATGTATGTATTTGTATGTATATAAAAATATATATTTATTTTTACAACAATATATATTAGAAAGCATATATTAGCATATGTGTATTAGTAATAAGTGTTATTACTTAAAGGGCATTTTACTACTTGTTCATATAGCAGTATGAAAACTTTCAAATGTGAAGGGGAGTTTATCTTATTGTTGTTCAACTATAAATCTTCAGGAATTTAGAAATCATCGTCCTACATTAAAATTGCTTTCTCTCTAGCTTAGGCACTGCCATAGACAGAGGTCTATTACTAGATACTACCTAGGAAATAGAGAACGTGAGAAGCAGAGTTGTGAAATCAGCTTTTAATGGGTTACTTTTTGGACAGCATTGTTAACAGTTTTATTTATGCTTGAGATGTTGCTGAGGTTATTGCTGGCATAATGCTTTTCCTGTTCTCATCCTAATCCATGCAGCCAGGACTCTGAGTTTAACTCTGTTTTGTTTAGTGGCGGTTACTGTGAAACTGTCTTTATCAGTTAATCCATCTCCAAAGAAATGTAGTGCTTTGGAGGAGGAGTCATCCATAAGGAATCAATATTTCCCCTTGAGCAGGAGCTGCCAGTATTTAAAGACAAGCAATAATCATGGCAGAAGCTGTAACTTCATGTAGAATGTCAGTGTTGGGGCACTCTGACAAAAATCCAGGGTTATGTAGTTCAGTATGATTCCAGAATTCAAAGCTCTTAATGACATGTAGAACTATGTGTATCACATGCTTGTTGCTCCTTAATATGCTGGCATGAAACCTATTAACATAAGATGATTCTCTGCTCAAGATGCTGCTCTGCATGATCTTGTGTCAGCGTGCGCTTTCCTTGTCATTTCAAAAGCTTTGTCAGAAATTATCAGAATTAAACTATTGTTTTACTTCACTTGTGACAATTCTTTTTAAAAGGTGTGTTTCCAGAGGGAATATCAGTGAATTTTAATCAGTGAATTGTAACAGTTATGCTAAAATACACTTTAATTCACTTTGTAGGTAGTTCTCACAACTCCTTTTGCAGATGGGAAGCAGGTGAGAGTTTTAGGGCCAAACACATACCAGAATTAAAGAAAGAAGGGGTGTAGGTTTATATATATGGTTTATAACGGTCAGTGTTTTCATGGAATGCATAAGTACCAGCCACTCGTGGTGTCTGCTCAGAAATGAAGAGCAGCATCCTTCCATGCCTTCAGACAGTGGACAAATAGGTGAATTACCACAGCTTGCAGTGAGGATGAGACTCCCCTGGTGTGCTAATTACAGGACTCCTGCAACTGTACAAACCTTCATTGCTGCTGTGTAAGTATTCTAAAATTCTGAACTGGGACGGCAGATCAAATCACTTGCTATTTTTTTCGTAAGTTGAAAGTTGTGTAGTTTTTTTTGTTATTTGAAGGTGTTCAACTTTTACTATAAATCCAAACTTTAATCTTGTCAAGGTGGTTTTCTTTGTTTTTGGACAAATTACTTCCACAAGATTATTTGTATCAATCCTAGTGTTTAAAAAGGATAAAAATAATGGTAAATCTGCATCTTTGCAAAAGGGACAGCTTAAGAATGTATATAAAAGCTATACAATTAAGTTTATGTTAAATGGCTTCAGCAATAATCATCTGAATCTCTATATTGTTTGAGAAATGTGATGTCAAGTATTGTTAAGGTCAGTAATAGAGCTTCCTCTGCCACTGTTTGATTAAAAAAAAAAAAATAACTACATCTGATGGAAAAAGGAAAAAGGGATTAACCTTTATTTACTTCATTTATTATGCTTATGCAACATCTTTGCTTATAGCTGTTTGGACATTCCATTCGTGCACAGCTAAATTAGGCAGTGACAAGTTTGTGCTAGTTAATTCCCTTACCTCAGAGCAAATTTAAGTACTTAGGAACTATTTAAGAAAGCCAGAAACACACCATATGTAATCTTTCTTTCAAAATACATTACTCTAAAAAGATTTTTTTTTCTAAGATTGATTAAAAACTTCCTTGTATTTTTCTTTGAATACATTTTTATTGAATATATATGTTAGCAGGAAGAGGGGGATGGCTGCAGAGGCTTCCTTGGTTACAAGAATTATCTGGAAAGTGCTTCAAAATTCGTACTTAACATAAAGAAATTTGATTATGACTGGAAGTTACAATTATGTTTTTAATTGACTGCTGTAATGGAGTGTAGTTATCCAAACCCATCTAGACAAAAAGGACATGATGTAGACTGCAGACTCTGCAGCTAGGAGTGTAAAGCTTGCAATTCCCAGATTCAGGAACTGCATTACACTGTAGACAAGTTGTCTTCATGCTGACAAAGTAATTTGAATTGGGTATTTAATGCTTGAAGGATGTTTGCTTATCGCAGAATTGCAGGGGTTGGAAGGGACCTTAAGAGACCATTGAGTCCAGCCCTCTGCTAAAGCAGGTACCCTGCAATAGGTCACACAGGTAGGAGTCCAGAAAGGTCCTGAATATCTCTGGGCAACCTGTTCCAGAACTCTGTTATGGTACTCAGTGCTTATGCTATTACTTTGTTAGGAGATAACATCTCTGGCTGTTCATTTATTTACTTGAAAATCATCTTCTGATCTTGCAAGTAAAACCTTACTCTTTAGCAAGGATTTGATAAGTTTTGATCAGGGTTATTCCACAAGGGGAGGCATCTTTGTGTACTGCAGGATACCTGAGGAGCCTCTGCCTAAGGTAGGCAGGGTGGGGTGATAGGTGTCCAACAGGCTTCTGAGTCTGCTCTTTCTTGTCTGAACATGCTGCTTCTTTGCTCTTCTGATACATGGCAGTATCCCTCATATGATTTCTATTTGGAAACTATTAGAAAATATAGGGTGTATTTCCTCATGTTGAATATGCTTGTCAGTGATTCATTCCAGTAATCCAAAGTTGCCTTCCACAACAGCTCTGAGACCTAAACTCTGTTCTGTAATGAACTGAGTCTGACAAAATGGGTTTATGTACAGTGATAAGACTTGCAGCATGGCTCCATTGCAGTACAGTTCTGGAATCAGGAAGGGACTTCCCATTTTGCTTCCTATTTATAGTTCTATATATAAATATATATTATTGTTATTAGAATGAAATAGTGAAAATTCACAATTCAATAAAAGGATATAATGAGAATAAATTTGACTGCATTGTCTTCATATTAATGCCAAATACTCTTTACCTGAGTGACAGTCATCCATAACTATATATCATCTGGGAAAGATGAGGTGCTGCTAAAGCTCCTCAGCCTGTGGTGAAGGGCTGTTTTCTCACCTCTTGCTGACTGTTCCCAATACTGTGAGTAAAACCAGGTGGGAAGCTTTCATTCTGTTCTGCTGAAGGTTGGATATTTAAGATGTTCTTCAGTGGGATGTAATAAAGACATTTCCTGATGTTCTTTAAGCTGAAAACAGGCTGACGGTATCTATAAGACTCCAATTGTAAAAGAATTTTATACAACTTTTTATGGAAATGGTCAGCTCTCTAGAGCTGCAAATGAGGTATTTCTTTATTCCCATTATGTCCAGATATAAGGCAGGGAGGCCAAGGACTTAAATCTGGATATCCTGTATATGATTGAGTGCTGCGATTGTGTCTTCCTGCTTTTTTGTGTGTGTGTTTGTTTGTCTGCCAGTGCCGGAACACTAAAATAGTCCTAGTTCCTCTGTGCCTAACCAGGAAGTCTGTCTTGAATCTGAGAGCACTCTCCAGCAAGACAGAAGTAGAAACATCTATACTTTCATAAAAGTCCTCATATAAAAGTTCCCATTGGGTGACTGCGTTTGCTGGGAAAAAACAAACAAACAAACAAAAAAAACATTTATTAGCTCTAGCAGGGAGCTGCTGAGTGG